TTTTGATTTAAAATAAAAGACACGCAACTATTCTTTTCACTTGAACACTTTGAGGCCATTGTAGAGTTTATTTTTGTTTGTTTTTTTAAAAGACAGTCTCACTCTGTCGCCCAGGTTAGAGTGCAGTGGCAGGGATCATAGGTCACTGCAACCTCAAACACCTGGGCTCCCCAAGTAGCTGGGACTACAGGAGTGTGCCACCATGTCTAGCTAATTTTTTAATTTTTTGTAGAGATAGGGTCTCGCTATGTTGCCCAGACTGGTCTCAAACTCCTAACCTCAAGCAATCCTCCTACCTCAGCCTCCCAAAGTGCTAGGATTACAGGTGTGAGCCACCACATCCAGCTATTGTAGAGCTATTAACTGGCCTAATTTCAATATTGTTGTGTCTCAGGGGATAGGGAGGCCCAAGGAAAGGGAGAGAGACAGAAGGATGGCCAGTCAGAGAAGTGAAAACACACACATTTACCAATTAAGTTCACCACCTTATATGGGTGTGGTTCATGGTGCCTCAAAACAATTACAATAGGAACATCAAAGATCACTGAACAAAGATCACCATAACAGATACAATAATGAAAAAGTGTTAAATATTGAGAGAATTACCAATATGTGACACAGAGACACGAAGCGAGCACATACTATTGTCAAAATAGTGCCAACAGACTTGCTCAACACAGAGTTGCCACAAACCTTCCATCCGTAAAACAGTACAGTATGTGTAAAGCACAATAAAGTGAAGCATGTCTGTACATGTGTCTGATTATAAATGAGATTAAATATCTTCCCAGGTTTATTATCTGCCCCTTTTTTTATTGGGTAATGTGTCTTTTTCTTACCGATCTGAAGGTGTTCTTTAAATATTCAAAATATTAATCATCTCTCAGTGATTAATGTGCAATCAGATATTACAGTGTGCTGCAATATCTTCTTCAAGTTTGTCTTCAGGGTTTGTGGTCTTGTCTCTTGTTGAAGACATTCTTCCCCATTCCAATATCATAAAGACAGTCCCCTATATTTTGTTTTAGTAGTTTTGCGTTATGCATTTAGGTCATAAATCCACCTGAAATTGATTTTTGTGTGTGGCATAAGGCAGGATCTTATTTTATCTTTCTGCTCTTTGGATTACCAATTGTCCCAATATAATTTCTTGAATGATTCGTCTTCTCTCCATTAATTTGTAAAACCACCTTTGTCACAGCTTAAGTTTTCATATATGGATAGGTCTGCTAATAAACTCTACTCTCTTCCACTGCTCTTTGTGTCTATCCTTCTCATCTATGGTTTAATATCACAATCATAATGATCCCTCACACTTGAATAGGACATTAGAATTTACAAAGCACTTGCAAATCCATTATCCAATTCAAACCTCAAAATGATCCTGTGAATTAAGTATTACTATGCACATTGATCTGGATGAAGAGACTGAGGGTCATAAAGGTTAAGTGGATCAGGGTTACCAGATAGTAAGCGAAGAGCAAGGACCCAACCTCATGTCTTCAGTTACCACTCTTTCCAGCAGACTCCATTAGGTAAGGAAAAAACAGTATCTCTCAAGCAGCTCCCAGAGCTATGTACTTTGTTCACATTAATCAAAACAAACAAAAACCTTGACAAATTAACAAATGATTTAACAACTATGGCGGTTGTTATAAATATGTCCATTATGCTCATCTTGAAAGTAAATTGTGTTTTGAAAGTGACCCTGCTGCAGCTTTGCTACTATTCACATCAAGCACAATGTCATTGTTGAAGTTTTTACTGTCCGCCATTCCTACTCATATTAGCAGTGGTTTCTCATCAGTCACTAGCCCTACAGCTCTAAAGACAGAACAGAGGTGTGACAACTGGACAGTTCCCTGCGTCAGGAGGGAGGGAGGCAGAGCTGATGTGCCCAAACCAGAACTCAACACTTTAAAACCCACACTTACATATAAGCTGAAGACACGCTATGCAAAGCAGAATGTCAGAGAGCCATCCAAGAACGCTGCACCTAGCTTAATGACAGCTTAATGGTCATAAATGGTTTTTATTGAACAAATAAATGAATTGCTTCATCCTGAGGCAGAACCACTGGTTTCAACAGGCCCTGTATAGAGCAGTCAATGGAGAAAAAAAGAGCAGCCCCTGACATTCAGAAGCAGGCCTAGCACTCACAGCTAGACCATGTTACTCTCCAACAGCACACAAATCATCTCACAGCATGCCAAACTCAGACAAGTTTACTCTGAAACCTTGATAAAGGAGATAAAGCCCATTTCATAATTTTGTATAAGCACAGACAAACACATAGTGCCTATTCCACCTCCAAAAAACTAAAGACCCTCTGGCCAAATTGAGTAACTGCTACTTCTCTACCAACTACAGTTTTATTCTTGTGCTAGTCTCCCCTCTGTACAAGTAAGATTTATTCAGATTCCTGACCACAGAATTGCCCATTTTCTGACAGCATCTAATCTCAAGTGAACCCCGCCTTCTATAAGGCCTCCCCTCCCCCAATCACCAACGCCCAAATCCTACAATTGGTTCTAACACCCTCCTAATGAGACACCCATGGTTCCCCATGGAGTATGCCCTCCTTTTGCTGCAATGAGCACTGAACCCAACTTGTTTAACTATAGGTATGTTCCTGGTGGTCTTTGGCTGTAGGGCATTGACACAATATGTCAGACATTACAACTGCTAAAAGTCTATGCCTTTCTCTTTCTGGAAAATTCTCCCAGTCTCAATTTGACAAGAATAATTCTCATTTCTGGAAGTTATTTCTAACCAAATGAAAGAGAGGTAACAAATTCCTTTTAACACCAAGGACCTGGTTCAACAACCAACTTCAATTCTACCAATAAATATATTCATAAACAAAACTTCTTGTTTGAATATGATAATATACTTCCTTCTAGAGAGTATGCCCTTGGAAAGCTGAGTCTGGCTAACTCATCTTTGTAAATCTATAGCATTTTACATGTGTTAGAGGATTTCTTTTATGAATGGTTGGTATTAATACATTGCTGTGGGTTTTTTTTTTTTTTTTTTGGAGACAAGGTCTCATTATGTTGCCCAGGCTGGTCTCAAACCCCTGGGCTCAAGGGGTCCTCCTGCCTCAGCCTCCCAAGTAGCTGGGGTTACAGGTACATGCCATGGTACCTGCTAACACGTTGCTTTTAAGCTAATGGTAGTTGAAATGAATGTCTCAGAATTACAGATGTGAAACCCCAGAAAAACCAAAAACTCAATTCAGGGAAAAAAGACTTATTTTTCCCAAAAATTAAAAAAAAAGGATTTCTCTCTCCAAAAGAAAATTTCATTTTTTTCCACCTTTACATTTTAAACTATTATATATTTCAAATATATGCCTCCATACTTCTAAATATACCAAATATGATTACCACATGTCTTCATGTTTCTTAACTAAGAGGTTTACATCTTTCAAGAAACATATAAGTATGGTACATTTTTTCATGTGTTCAACCAATTTCCATTTCTTTCCATTATCAGCCCACTCCCCCTAAAAACTGCTTTTCTTCTTGTACCTTCAAAAATATTCTATCCTATCATATGATAGACAACTAAAGAAGCCAGGGCCTGAGTTTATTTAATTTGCTCTACACACTACTTACCTAAATAATTAAAGAGATTGTCATAACACACAGTCTATACTTTTTTATTGATTGCTGGAAGAACCCTCTGTAGATAGGACTTAGATCCCCATCTACGACAGATTTTGTTTTTTCCTACCTCATTAAAGCACCCTGGAGCATAGTAAAGGGAGACAGCACAGAACATTTATTCATATTCTGATGCTAAAGTATAATTCAGTCTGGTTTAATACATTAAATGATACACCATGCAATGTCATAGCCTATTTAAAGGCATTCTGGCCAGTACTAACTTTATCTTTCTACAGTTTGTATACAGTATAACTACATATATATTATATATATATAAACAGTATATTCCAGAAGCAAAGATTAAATTAAATTCAACAAATTCAAGTTAACACTCAGAAAGTACCACATTTTGCAAGACAACGTGACAGACCAGTTGACAAATCCAAACAGACGCTTGATTCAGAGGCAGAGAGAGTTAAGTGGAGTGAAGGTTACAAAGTGCCATAGATGTCAAGGAGAAGTTGAGCGTAAGGATGACTGAAGAAAGAACATTCCAGATGAAAGCTCCAGTTCCTCAAAGACCAGAATCCTGGATGGTTTGGACAAAGACACGAGGGTACACAGGTCCCGGAGTCTCCTTTATTATTAGGGGGCTTCAGCTTGCTCACATTGGGGGCCAAACGAGATCAAACATAAATATTCAATGTTTAACTTAAGAAAATTTCAAGTTCTCCATGCAACTCAGCAAACCTGAGCTCACAGCTGTCAGAACACGGGAGTAAAAAAATCACTTCCTCAGGGTCTTGTAAATATTAAAATTAAAGTACTAAGAATGACGTCCATTGCCGAACGGTTGGGAGGTGGGTGTGCCCTCCCCAACCCCCGCAGGCAGCGGCGAGCCTCTTGAACGTCCCAGGGGCCGGATGGACCTCTCCGACCAGCGTTAGAGGTCCAGACACAGCCCAGCAAACCACTGTCACAACGCACCCCAGACCCACGAGATCATTCCACACCGCCAAGGGCCTCAGCCAACCCAAACCCCGACGGTCATGTTCCCAGGGCCAGGCTCGAGCTCCAACAGGCCGCAGACAGCGAACAAAGAGGAGGCCCAGGACAGCCTCCGCGGCCTGGGACAGTCTCCGAGGCCCGCGCCCGACTCACTGAGCCCCCTAAGGAACCTGCAGCCTGAGGGGGTCGTGCCCCCGGCCCGGGATCTGCGGGTAAGCCTCGACAAGGGCCAGCACGCCGGGAGCTCACCGCGTCGCGGACCGTGTTGGCGCACTGCAGCCTGTCCTGTCCGGCGCGCACACGGACAAAAGGGCTAGGGTCCCAGTGGATACCCGGAGCCGCGATCTCGCGCGCTTCCCGCCGCCCAGACCTGGCCTTTACCTGCACGTCACTCAGCTCCACGCGCAGATACAGCTCGCGGTGTCGCTGAGCCCAGTACACGTGCGGCGTCAGCACCTGATTCTCCATGGCCACGCTGTCCAGGGCGCCGGGAGGCTCGGCTCGCTGCGACTCGCTGCCTCAGGTAGTGACCGGCTGGAGTGGGCGAACGCAGGCCGCAAATGCCCGCGCTCCGGAGCGCCAGCAGCCCGGCAGCCCCGAGACACCCCACGCTCGCGGGCCGCGCCTGCGCAGTGACGAGCGGGGGGGGGCGGCGGCGGGGGCGCTAGCCCGGGGCCCGAGCGCGCGCCGGGCGGGGGCGGGGCGCGGAGGGGAAGGGGGCGGGCCCAGGCGCCGAGGCGCCGCCGCTTGCCTCGGCCGGCTCGGGAATTACTGTCGGCGGGTGCTCCGCGCTTTGAAATGGAAAGTGCTGGAGGCTCAATAGAGGACGGTCAGCATGGGAAAAGGGCTTGGGACTGGTGTATCTGGAAGGTCCCTCCCATTCCATTTACTGAGCGCCACTGTGTGCCGGCGCTTCAGAGCTAATCACTGGAACGAGAGTGGTGAGACGCAGTCTCTTCTGTCTTGGAGCCTTCAGTCTAGTAAAAGACGCAGGTCGTCACAGACGAAGTGAGGATGACACTGGTGATAGGGGAAGCGGTGTGGGACCTGGGTGGAAGAGTGTCCCAAGAAAGGGAGAGTATGTGTAAAGACCAGAGCTTTCCAGCGCCGTCGAGGAGGACTGTATGCACCGACGAGAGCGTTGCACGCCGCGCTCTGCAGTACGGCAGCCGCTAGCCCACGTGAGGCTTTGAGCGCTTGGAATGTGGCGAGGGAGACTGCGGAACCGAATTTTCAATTACGTTTACGTCTAATGAAATAGTCACATGACTGGTGGCTGTTGTGTTGGCCAGTGCAGCAGCCCTGTCTCTCGTGAAACAGGAAACTCGAACTAGAGACCACTCTAATTTTCGTCTTATTTTAACTGTCTTGTCTGTATCCAGGTTCTTCTGCAATGAAGAACTTAATGGGAAGCAACATTTCTATGAAAACTAGAACTCTAGGACAAAAAGTCAGTTCCGTTAGCACCCATTTATTTACCACAGGGACCCGGCGAGGAAGAGAAATTATGCCACCTCTTGGGAAACCTATAGCTCAGGGGTAGATCTTATAAAATGTAGAGAGTTCTAATATGGTGAATGTGCTGAGCTCACAAAGAGGTATGAAGGTAGGAGCTGAGGGTTGTAGGAAGCATGGTCAGACATTTGAAAGCCAATCTTAGAGAGCTAGATGGTGAAATGCGAGGAGGAATTTGACCCAGGAAGAAGCAGGTAGCGCAGTGAAAGCACAGAGCACACGACGGAAGGTGGAGGGTTCTGCATGCTAGGGATTAAAGGCAGAGAGGAGAGAGGTAGCCCTGGCTCTGCAAAGGCAGAGTAGTGGATTAGGAAAGTCTTCATTTGCTTCACTGAGGTGCTTATACTGTATCCCACAGCATACGGGAGCCAGGGAAGTTTGTTAAACTGGAAATTACCAAAATCAAATATGTATTTAGCAAGACTGCCGGCGGACCTGCCAGCAGAGGAGGAATTGGTAGTAGACAAACAGATTAGAGACTTACACAATCTGCCAGCTGTGAGCTAATGAAAGCAATAACCTCGACAGCCTTGAATTTTAAAAATACATTTTTAAATGATAAAAGTATTTTTACTGCATAATGTTTACGACAATGCAGATGCAATATAGGGGCACTTTTAAAAAAAATTGAGGTATAACTTACATATAGGAAATGTTCAGCTCTAGCTGAATTTTTACATATGTTTATATCTGTGTAACTATCAAGATCTGAAACATTTCCAGCGTCTCAGAGATTGCGTCATGTCAGAATACGTTCACCTCCCAACCCTCTCTCCCCTCAATAATTACTATCCTGACATATCACGATAGAGTAGTTTTTGTCTGTTCTTCAATTTCATGTAAATGGAATGCAGTGTCTGGCTTCTTTCATTCAACATAAAGTGTAGGAGATGTATCCGTTGCTGAGTGAATCAGTAGTTCATTCTTTTTTGGTTTTTGTTTGTTTCTGCTGCATAGTGTGCTGTGTGAATGTACCACATATTATCTATTCTCCTGTTGACAGGCGTATGCATTGTTTCTAGTTTTTAGCTATTGTAAATAAAGCTGCTATGAACATTTGTGTACCTGTCTTTTGGTGGCTATATGCTCTTAATTCTCTTGAGTAAATACCTTGGAAGGGAATTGCTAGGTTATATAGACGTCTGTTTAGCTTTAGTAGATACTGCAAAGCAGTTTTACAAAGTGTTTCGATCAATTTACATTCCCACAGCAATATTTGAAAGTTCTAGTTGCTCTATATGCTTGGTATTTTCAGTCTTTTTAATTTTAGCCATTCTGGTGGGTGGTAATAAAAAATAAAAATAAAATAATTTTAATCTAACATATTTGAAACCCGAGGCTTATCAATTGATCTCTATCCAAGGTGAAAGCTACTAAATATACAAGAAGATTGAATCTTGATGTTTTGCCTCAGATGCTCTGTAAGAAAGGTCCATTTGAAGGGTGGACCTATCCAACCTGGTTTGACCTCTACTAATGTACTGTAAAATGACTTCTCTGGGCCTGAGTTTCCATATCCATCAAATGAGAGAGTTAGATTCAGTCCCCTCCAACATTCTTGTCAGCTGTTTCTGAATTTTTCTGCAAAGAGGCCCAGCTATTATGGATCCCTCTCTCCAGGGGAAATCCAATAAGAAAAAAATTGAAATGGAGAGGGGAAAGAGTATCTTCCAGGTAAACTATAACCTGCAAGATGGCAGGGGGGATACAAAGGCAGAGCCAAGTGGCAGTGCTATGCTGAAGTAGGTATGGCTTAGGGCTTTATGATAATGCCAGTCAAATGAAAATGCAAATTAAATACTGTCTTTGTGTCCTACCTTGTAGATAACAGCCTTCCCAGGCTTATTTGGCCCACGGCCATCTCTCCTTTCTCAGAGAACCATCAGCATCAGTCACAGGAAGCATTTGCTGAGTATTGCCATGGATGAAGTTCCCAGTGCTTAAGGCTAGTTTCCTGCCTTTGGCAAGTGATCATACACATCCTTGTTGTTCACTTTTTCACAGAATATTCTATTCCTAGAATTTTTAGAAAATCAACTGTAGAGTTCAGCTGTTTTGTGCCTCACCCAGGGTCACCCAGCCAGTTTTCCATGATCAAAATCAGGTTTCTCTATCCAGAAGTGCAAAACTAAGGGTGGAGAGAGACAGTAACCAGCACAGGTTACTAATGAGGAATCCTGCACAGCCAGATCATACACCTGTAACCTCCTAACTATGCCAGAAGAGTGGATCTTGCAGCCAATCTTTACTGGAAAAACCCTTCCCTCCACCTGTCAGTCCATGGTTCAGAAGAATGTGCAAAGATGTTCCCACCTCAGCCTTAAGTGCTTCCTTTCAGAGCCTGCCTTGGGTATGGGGAGTGGTCTTTCCACTGTATTCAGTTTGGCCCACCTGCTAATTCCTGGATCTCTGGCCGCATATGTGATTGTCAGCTGCAGACAGAGGTCAGTATGCTACCATTAGTGTAAAAATATTGGGGTAGTGGGAGGAATAATACATACATGCACTTGTTTATATATCATAAACTATTACTGGAACTATATGCAAGAAAGTAATAGCATTAGTTTCTTAAGGGGAAGGAAACTAGGTACCTGGAGGACCAAGATGGGAAAATTTTTTTTTACTATATACCTTTTGTATTTCAAAACTTCTGAATCATGTGGCAGTACTACCTACTCAAAAACTGAAATACGAAAAAGAGAATCAGAGGGAAAGACCTTTTTTGGTTATTGCAGTTTGTTTTGAATTATTCCTCAAAAAGGGGCAAAGCTGGGGGGAAATGGAAAAACAAACTCTAGCCCACCACATTGTATAATAAACTACTGCTAGTGTATTGCATCTTTATGATCTCTTTCCTCACCTAGATTATAAACTTCCCTAGAGCACAGATTGCCTCCTTTTGGTATCCTGTAGCATCTAACACAATGTGTGTCTTCATAAAGTAGATGCTTAAAACATATTTGTTGATGATAATACCCAGTGCTAGAAATGGAAGGCTTTGTATCAACCCAGGCTTGCTCTCTCATTCACACCTCATGTGCAAGATAACTTGCCTTTTCCTGATGGATCCCTAAAGTGCAGGGTAGCAGAAAGCAAGCTGGGCTTTGTCAAGTACGTATAGAAGACTGATTCAGCCAGTAAAGATACAATGACCCACTTCTAAATTCAAAGAGTTTATTACTCACATATACAGCAAAAGGAAGAATGCACAAAAGTACCAGCTGCCTGTGGTCCTTGACCCGTATACCAAAAAGGACGATACAGTAGGCCTGCCCTATCTCTCAGTTCCACATCTGTGGATTCAACCTACCTTGAATGGAAAATATTCAGAAAAAAAAA